CTAGCAGCAATTATAAAATATATAACGAATTTTATACAACACCAAGTAATAAATGTCAGTTGTACTAAACTCTTTCTAATTCCACTGAATTTAATCTAAAAAGCATAGTGTCGTGCGGTAAACATATTCAAACACATACCAACAAACCTAATGCAATGTAGTTTGTAATCGTTTGTGCGGTGTGTTTGCTAAAGTAAATCATTGGATAGAGTCATGTAGATTAGAGTGCTGTGTGTATTCGGATTAAATCGTCCTCTGGGACTAGTAGGGAGGTGGATGGGAGATAGGTACTATTTCACCCAATGCGACGGTCACAGTTAAATTGGAAAATTTTAACCTATAATCATAATCTGACTATTTAAAAAATATTAAAATAGTTTATTACGAATAGACACTATTTAATAGAAGTAAAAAATTTGTTGTGATGAAAAGTTTTAAAACAAAAAAAAGAACTCTCCGGCGGGGAATCGAACCCCGGTCTCCCGCGTGACAGGCGGGGATACTTACCACTATACTACCGAAGATGATGCTTACGTGTTGGAAATTATGATATTGTTACAAATTAACAAGCAATGTTAAAAAATGTGCATATAGCACTATTATACTTTTAATTTATTTATATTGTTTTTATACTTAAAATATTATTTGTATATACCAAATTCACTCCGATTAGGTGACACACAAAATTCTAAGGGCATTACAGGCCACCAAACTCTAGAACTCGTAACCTGACTAAATCCGACAAGCAACTTTTTAGATTCCTTTGAATATCAAATAAAATATATTTATTAGTAATAAAGATTAGAAAATAAGATTAGAATTTTTTCCTTTTTTCCCCACTTCTCGCACTATATATGCTATATCATACATATTTTTTTGGTTTGTTATTTAATTCCTTTGTATTCTAATCTGCCCCTAAATTTGCTAATTTATTCAATCTATCGCAATTCCTTTTAATGTGACACTTGAAATATATTCTCGAACTTAACGCTATAACTATTTGACATGTGAGAGCGATTGCAAACGCGACCATTTTGGATATACTTAATGAACGTTAATTGGAATTGTCTAAAGCAAGCATTACACGCAAATATCTTTGAAAACTGTTGAAAAATATCAAACGAAATGCTACTTGTAATCTAGGGGTTTAAGTAAGTTTTAATTACGATATTTGATCATTCACTCATCATTCGTACCAAAAGCGGCTGCGACTTTAACAATGACATGACTCCATAAATAGCTCGGTATCTCAATTGTTATACTTTTGAAAGGAATTGCGATAGATATTTAAATTAGACATTAAACCCCCTGCTTGGTAATCGTACACGGTAGCTTCGCGCGTTATGGATTTTCCAATCCTAACTGAGAAATAATGTCTTACATGACCATTACCATGTTTTATAATTCAAAGTACTTATACTCCATTCATTATAACATTAGAAAAAAGAGGGTAATAGAAGCAGCAGTGCAGAACATTTTATTTTCAAGATAATTAAAATATATATATATTACTTTTGTTGAAACTTTGAACGTTAGATAGGCTGAAAGAGCTGGGCAATTTTCCATTTTTTGCGATACCTCGGGGTTGAGATGAGGCCAGCATTTTATAAATTCATCTTTTACTCCCAAGCCAACATGAAACTAAAATTGAAACTATCTGTCTATTGTTTTGATAAATTCTAACTGTAAGTGTAATTATTTAGACTATTGATAAAGACATTGGAAAAACTTCCTGAAATGTCAAAGGCTGAGGGTAGGTATGGGATTAGAGCGTTATTTTTGTAGGCCACTCGGGCCTACACCGGATCGTCCATATTTAACAAAACTTAACAACAAAAACAAAAAAACAACAATAACAATTGAATCACCGAAAACGGCAAAACAACAAGAAAGGCAGTAGCATTCACAACGGATGACAATCCCAGATTACGATTTTATCAATTATGAATAAATAATAATCTGACAAAATTAAAAAGCTGTACTGCCGAAACGTTTGAAGGGGTTAGGCAACGTTTTAAATTTGGTAGAGTTATAGTGACATGAGAATCGTGCCGAAACTATCCAACCCTGCTTCTTTAGGTTCTTTACGATGAACACTTTTTATTGTAATAGTTATTAAATCATTTAAGTTAGTCATATACTCATAAATTTGTTTAATAAATAGCTTAAATGACAACAGTTAAGTATAGCAGCTGGTATTCAAGTGGATATGTAGCAAATTAGCCGTCAGTCTTAAGAGTAACATGATCATTTATATTTTGACAAAAAGTATACCATAAAAAGAACCTTATTTAACTTCTGTCTAATGCTATAATGAATGGAGTATAGGTATAGTAAAAGGTATGTAGGAAGGTATGTAATAAAACACGCAAGTTTTTTGAAATGCACTATATTTCACCAAAATGGTTGAAATGGAATATTACAAAAGTAAATATAAGTACTATATAATACATTTAACGCGACTTAAAATTTATAAGAAAAAATTGTTTCCGCGTAAAACTTAACTATTTCAAATGTGAAATGATAAAACCCTATAATCTTATTACCGATACCATATTGATAATTTGTTTCTTATACCAATGAAATTTAACAATAATAAAGGTAACATACTTGATTACAGAAAATTGATGAGTTTGACAAGTCTATGGCTACATTGACTTCTATTTTATACATTCAGAGTTGTAATATATACTGTATTGAATGTAGAGTGCACTTTCTGTATAGAACGTATCTGTGACAATACAGTATTGAACTAACGTATTTGTAATAACTCAGTATTGAATTATTGCATTGTTAAATATAAAAATATATTTTATTACGTTTTACAAACATTTAATTTCTGTAGATATATAGGATAAATCTGATAATAGGCATTTTTGTTTTTATTTCATCGGTATAAGATTTGGTGACCGACACAATATATTTTGATCATCATTGTTTACCATATTTTTTTCTTTTAACTCGCGCAGTTGGTTTATGATATTATCTTTATTTTGTCAAATAACGCACTAATTTAATGACAGTGGTATAACCATTGTTTTTTCAAATTACCTGAAATTATGTTGGTCACCAAATGCGGCCATTGACTAGATGATAAATACATCGATTATATCAAAAAGAAAAAGAAATGTTTACTAACATAAAAAAGGTAGGTACAATTTTTCAATATACATTTTATTACAGCTATGAAACTATTTTTAATCATTCGTTGAATTACTTTGAGTAATCATTGAAATCACTTAAAAATATTAGTTCACGGCAAAAAATACTACGTTATACATATATTTGTAAAAACCATGCAATTATGAATTAATTTTTGTTTCAAATATCATGAATGCTATCTCGAAGAAATATTCTTGGCTATGATACAAAACGTTTATATCTATTTATAAGTAGAATATTTTGGCAGGATAAATCTCATTAATACAGTAATTTGTAAATATTATAAATTTATATATTGTAAAAGATTATAACCAGTATAACATGGAAAGTTACTATTGCTTATAAATTGCAAAGAGGCATTTTCAAATGTATTTCCTTTACATTTAGATTTAAATTTTAATGGTAAGCGTAAAATATCTTGCTAACATTGTTTCGTGACAAAAAATATGTATAATTAAAACATCTTGAAGGAAAGGCACAAATAAATTAAGTACCTAGTAACGAATTTATCGTTGCACCTTAAACCTATTAAATATAATAATGAATACATACCTACGACCGAAAATATGTAAGTATTATAAAAATTAGCACATCAACATTTGACACAAATAATAAATAAATATTTTATGAGTTTCCTCCAAAGCAAAATTACAAAACTAGATTTTATATTTTTTTTTTACGAAAAACTTGATCCAAACATATTCAAGTGTATTTTCGTAATCTCTTCTCTTACATTACTTTGCGCGGATAAATGAAAGTTTTACATTTAAAATTATTTTTTTTACAAAATTTACCATCCTAAATACCCAAAACCCATTATCATATAGCCAGCTATAATATTTTTGGCACTCTACTAACACCTAAATTCGTATTACATGTACCACTAAAATGTACTAAGAAATGAATTTGTTAAAGTATAATTATGTATGTACATAGGAACAACTATGTGTTTTCATGTACCTACCCGAAAATATGTACATTTACAAATTTAATCGTAGTATTTACATATTTTTTATCGAATTTTATTAATGAAAATATTTTCAAATTGTTTATGAGTATAATAAATGAATGTTCATTTACTAGGTACTAAACGTTCGTTATGGTAAATGTACTTAAATATTATGTATGTTGTAAACGTCGTGTAGGTTACCAGTAAAAGAAGTTATTAATTATACTAGATAATGTAATAACCAATAATGTCTTTATCATAAAATAGGTTTAAAAAAATAAGTTTAAGGTTAGCTTCGATCTTTAAATACTAACGATAATGTATTTCGTAAAACGTTGATAGCGTTACATTTATAATTTGTACGAGAATACTCGTAGTGTGAACGCATCGCTTGGATAAATCGAGGAAATTGAAATAAAGAACAATGTACATATTAATACTCGTTTGGGGTCGCGATACGATAAGGGTTATTAAGGTCATACTTTACATATAACATGTTCTCGATTGATAACAACGTCTCAATCAATATTATTCTTGAGTTACAATTTGCAGGGTAATAGACACATATGTCTCTGTATCTCTGAAGTCTCTGCAGACATCTGAAGCATCGCATATGGTGGTTCTACTGGCATATATGTGGTACTAATATGATTTTCAAGTATGTGACATGTGTAATGTGAAGCGTACAGATCCGGATCTAGGGTGCCAGTTAAGGGGTGCCGGTTGATAGTTAAAAAGATAATGATCTTCACAAACATGTCTTTCGAAATTCATACACATTCGTTCCATCGTAACCTATAGGGGGTGGGTGGGGGGAGGGGAAGCTATAATGGTCGGAAAATGACTGGTCCGGCTCGGCCGCGTACAGCAGCAGTAAGACTGGTACACTCGTGATCATACATCACATATTGCTACACGGCTGGTCTAAATGCGATGTGAGCTTGCGTCCCAGATACGTGAATTGTGGCATATGACATATTCAAGGTATAAACTCGGCTCTCAGACGTTTGAAGCATCGCATACGGCGGCACGGTTGGCATATTCGCGGTGTGAACGCGGCCTTGCAGCGTGCCTGTCGGCGGCGACGTCACAGGACGACAATGAGGAAACGGACAATGACTCCATGTAGTCTGATGTGTCTGATGCACCACTCGAAGTGCCGCCACTGGTCAGCTGGCTCAGCCGCGACGATAATTCCGGGTCCACTGTCCAAGAAAATAGAAATATTGAAGATTTTTTAGTTTTATTCTTAATGGAAAATGCTTAAAAATCCACTTTCGCCTTGGTTCTCTGACATGGGATTCGAATTTACGAGCTTACGCATTCCGGGCGACTGCTCTAACCACAAAGCTACCCAGGACCTAACATTTTAATAATTTTTATTAAGAATATTTTTCAGTATAGTATTGTGAATGCAAAATTGATAAAATATTATATGCTTTTTAATTTTTGTTTTTTTTTGTACTTACGAGTATAATAATTATATGAAAAATAATATTAGATATGAGACTATCGTTCATATTTTAATAAATTAACATCCCTTTATTTGTTGTTTTTCGGGATAAAAAATAGCGTATGTTCACCTCATACGACGTTGCTTCCCGTAGGTCAAAGAATTTTAAAAATAGGTTCAGTAGTTCTGTAGCCTATTCTATGCAAACAAACAAACAAACAATCAAATCTTTCTTCTTTATAATATTCGTGAACATTGCTTTATTTTATGAAAAAATATGAATAACTGTAATAGACTTACGAGTTCTCCTTTTTCGTCTCGTCAAAGTGTCGACATCACAAGAGTTAGATTTCGTAAGAGCAGCGACTTCTTCAAACTGAAATGTCAAGTTTTTTAAAGGATCTGAGGAGTTTGACTTAATGAATGGCGAGTGTGCAGGGGTTAACGTCTTCCTAACCTGCCTGTTGCATTTCATATGTTTCTTGCTAGATTTACAATTAGTTATAGGCATTTCGAAATCTTTAAAGTCCCCCTTATGATGTTTCAGAGACCCAGTTGACACTCCAGAGTCATTAGAACTGGAGGAATCCCTGTTCTTATCAGATTTACTGGGAACGCTAGATGATCGTCTGATTTTTACTGCATCTCTGAAGCGAGCGACGAAGACATTTTCACTTTTCACTTCGGGCACTTTGAAAACTTTGTCATTTTCAACGTTCTTCGTTTTGTTCGGTAAAGGTATACCTTCATTTATTCTCTCGTTCTTGGAAGCTTTCCTGAGAACTGTAGGCGTGAAACATATTTGGTTACTAAGATAATCGTCATCTAATCGTTTTGTAAAATCGGCTGAACTGGATCTTCTAGTGCTTATTGTGCTTACACTGTCAGAATGTTGTGTTGGATCTGATACGTGACTGATCCTACTTATATTATCCGAACAATTTTTATTACTACTCGAACTACTTATTTCTAATGGCTCCATATGCATATAGTTTATGTGGTCGTTACAGCAATCCATAGACGGATGCACAGTATTCGTAGTTGCCGAGGATATGTCGTCATCGTGTTCCGGTATATCTTCCAAAGCGTCGAGTTCTTCTTGGCTGAATCCAGCGCTTCGTAAAATCTGCAAGGAACTTTCGAATTTTTCTAAAGTAGCCGAAAGGTCCACATTCGCGTAATTTCCATAGTCGATGTGTAAATCTTGATTTTTGGTTACTGGGGTAACGTTAACGTAATTCGAATGTGCTGCTTCATTAGTCGCATCGTTGTTATTAACACTAGTATCACACTGGTCGTCGTTTTGTTCTGTATCATCTTTTTTGGTATCGTTCATATTATTATTACAGCTGCAGGCTTGACCATTAATAAGACATTTTAGTTTCTTTGGTGTATCGTATAGTGAGGAGGGGTCTGTACTACCGTCTATTGGGTGCTCCTGAAATATAAAATTGTACATTATATTTTCCTTTTCAGTATTTCATGCTTATGTTATTAAAAGTTTTACTCTTTGTGCCCATCTGGCAAATTTATTTGATTCTAATTCCATTAAGTGTTTCAATTTTATAAACATTAGTTAATTTATGTTAAATTATTCATTTACAAGAGTTAAGTTTCCTAATTATTTGATTCTCTAATTACACTGTGTTAATGCAAGGACTTTGTATTAAACAATATTTATCTTGAAATTTATTAAAAAAGTAACAATTATTTGTATTTCACCTGTATTAAAGGCATCGGTGTCTTCGGCACATCATAGTTTTCATACGGACCGCTAAAAGACTTCTTTTTGTTGCAGCAGCATGGTTTTTGCTGCCAACACTGACAGCTGTTCCCTGCTTTGGCCGGGACAGTGGGAGTACAGCATCCTACCGGGCTTGCTCGCTTGGATTCAAAACTTTTATCGAGAAGACACGTGCTCCTAGGCACGCTGTATTCTGAGGCACTGCCGCTGGATCTCGAGTATATGGACGCACGATCGGAGTCTGATCGTTTCTCTAGGATGTTGTCCATTGTCCATACTGGAGACATTATTGAGCCGGGCGTACCCATCGTTGATGATCTGTAATCGAACAATATTATGATTGGATAAAACTTTGGTAATTTTTAAATTAGTGAATACGAGAAAAAATAAACATAATTTTTACAATTTCGGGAGCTAATGTTAGCAATAAATCTATAGAACAATGTAGCTTATAAAACTAATCATTTATAACAGTAATATATTTACAGACGATTTGAGAAACTATCATATTTGTTTCGAAGTCGGTTAAAAAATTTAATTAAAATATAAATCGCGAATATATTTAAAATTTACTATTGCCTAAATTTAAAACCCGTATTAAAAATTGTCTACTCAGTAAAGGATATTATACTGTTAATGAATATTTCAAATTGCTTGATGTTAAATATGGCTTATTTTTATGTATATTAAATTATTTATCGGTGAACATGTTTGACTATAATATATGTGATTTGATTGACGAAAATATTTATTTATTTATATTTATATAATAATTCGAGACAATTCTAATATAAAAAAAAAACATAATTACATCACTACATTTTTGTCATAATTTGTGTTGCGAAAAGGGACGGCGAACAAGCTCGTGTAAATGTACGACGTGTGGGTACTCTCAAAGCTAATTGCTCCAGAAGCACGGGGCTGTTATAATACTGTTTTACTTTATATATTTTCTAATATTGTAATGGAAAGTGACTTCAAATTTTAATGAAGTCATTTTTCAATCTCGCTGCTTTATATGAAATAAAACAGGAAGAAAAATGCCCTTGCCGAGTTGCGAGAACGGTATACGAACATCATCGGTTTACGAAGCTCTCGACTTTCACTCTCGACTTTAAGTGCTTGTAAAAGCCTAGACTGAATAAATGATTTTGATTTGATTTTGATATAATATGACTTAAATTTGTCTAATAATAAAAATAATACTATTTTCTTAAGTATTGTTTGATTAAATTACCTGGTCAGGTGGCTAATTTTCCCGATACAGCTGGAGCACCTGGGCAGCGAAGTAGGCCGCCTCAAGCGGTCTTCTTCCATGCTGCTATCTAAGTCTGACAGGCAGTGCATAGTTTGACTGGCAGGAGCAGCCCAGCAAGGGGAAACCGAGCGCAGGGATGGGTGGAAATCGTCCAGGCAAGAACTGGTGTCGGAGAACCGCTTTTCTAGGACTGTTGAAAACGTATAATTGATAATTTAACTTTCTATGTTCAGCAATGTTTGTAATTTTATCGGTATTATTAGCATATCATTCCCACAGATTATCTACAGTTATAAAGAACGAAGTGTTATAGACTACAGATACTACATTTAAAAGATCGGCTTTCATGAAAGGAGCTTAGCATCAGTAATCATAGACCTAACGCGCTGTTTGGTGTGCCATCAAACTCTTCTTTCTCTCTTTGTGGATGTTTTAATTGGTTCTTATTTGTAAGTTACGTGTGATGTGATTGGTTTCTCTTTGATGTTTTTTACAAAATCATATTGACCGAGGAGCTCGATGACGCAGTGGTTAGCGCGTTCGGTCTGCAATATGGTTGTTTACTTTTAAGTAACTTTTAAAATGACCGTTCATAAGATGGTGACCAAAAATATTAACTTCTTCGTGCTTCGATAGGCTCGTAAAGCCATTGATCCCGACTGCATCTGCAGTCGTTAAGACCCACCAATTCGCACTAGGGCCCACGTGGTGGGTCATGACCTACTCTCATTATTCCTGAGCTGCAAGGGCTCAGGAAAGGAGTGGGGACAATAATAAGCTGGTGAAGTGATATTGACGATAGCGTACCTGAACCGCTTCTAGATGCTATGCTGAGCCTCGATTGTGCGTCGTGGCTGTGCACATTAAGGAGGTTGGTGAGCTCCCTGCCCCCTTCAGCTGCGAACACGAATAGCCCCTCTCCACGTCCGCACCGGGAGCCTCCTTCCACGCAGAACCTCTTGTCCACCAAACCGTAGCGTCTGAAGACCAAAAACAATCACATATTGAAAAAGAAATAAAGCCCAGACTATTATTGAAACTATATTACATTTCTAAGATGGGTCAAAACGTGGATTTAAAAAAAAAATAAAAGTAATTCTAAAATCAGCTACATACAATTTATTTTCGTAATTATACAATAATCGAAATAGTTGTGGAGTAACGATAATCAAACATGATTAAAAAAATAGCGCTTTATGAGCAACTGCATTGAAAAAAGATTTTTGTTATTTTTTTAGGGACTGTCCGCATCGCGATTTTATTTCGCGCGAATTTAATATCGCAATTCTGTAACGCATTTAATCATATTGGAATATCCGCACTTGAGGAAAAAAATCGCGCGAGAAAAATCGCGTTTACTAAACTACAGATTGTCGCGATTGCTCAGTCGTGTATCAGCGGTCGAAAGATGTTACGCGGTTCGTCTCCTGTCTACTCGGCGGTCGCCTAAAATGATGTAATTGATATTGAAATGTTTATAATACCAATTTAAAATAGGCTTACAAATAAAAAATGGGACAATTTTCAGACAAACTACCATGATAAGCATTTGAAAACAAGGTTGTGGGAAAAAATATACATTGAATTGAATCAAACAAATTAAAAAAAAATTCTGTAGTTCACTTTTAGGGTTCGATACCCAAAGGCTAAAACGGGAACCCTATTACTAAGGCTTCGCTGTCCGTCTGTCACCAGGCTGTATCTCATGAATCGTGAAAGTTCGACAGTTGAAATTGTCACAAATACTAAAAACCGGAATAAAATAAATATTTAAAGGGGCTCCCGTACAACAAACGTAATCTTTCTGCTCGTTTCCGGTATGGAAACTTACATTCAAGGGTCCGACTGGCACTTGCCCGGTTTTTTAGACGTTTGTATTGACCGGGAGCTACATAAAACTGTCAAAATCGCGTGGAATTTCAATCGCAATGCGGACAAGGTGTTATGTCATTGCGAATTAAAATCCGCGCGAATAAAAATCGCAATGCAGACAGTCCCTTATTATTTATGCGTCAATATTACGTCCACTTTTTATTAATAGAATTTTCATATCTCCGAACAGAAAATGAAAGTACTCATTTAACCACTATAGGATTTTTTGTTAATTTAGATAAAATTAAAAGTACTTTAGGTATCTTTTCCATTTGGAACAAACCCGCATTGTTCAAATTAACTCTCGCACAGTAATTAATTAAAGAACAAAAGTTCCGGTTGTTTGTTGCTCGCGTTTCGAATGAGGGTCGATGTTTAGCTAGATCTATAGTTACACAGACAATTCAACAGCAAGTTGTCTTTTTATCAAATAGAAAAAAAAATATAGTTATAACACCACCCAATAACAATAAATAAACTTTTTGAACATCACGTACAATAATCCTTCTTTTACATTCAAGGACATTTGTTTTTAAATTGGTAGTATTATAAGAAAAAAAGAAAAAATGTTATAAAGAGGTTCCATTATTTTAACGTTTCGCTTGGATTTCTCCTAAGCTCGTTCTTGGCAAAGTTGGAAATTATTTGACCAAAGAGGTATTTAATTTGGGTCTCCGCAGGCGAATTTCACGGATACCAACCAGGCGAGCTTAGGCGACTTACACGGCTTTATTAAGATTTCGGATCTAGCGAGAACCTTATTGGTCCAATATTAGATTTCGAATTAAGTAGATGTAATCGATATGTAGCTTTTATTTATTTTTATAAGTGATGATTTCTGTAGTTATCGATTATTTCGAAATAAAAATTGTTACTTTTAATAAAAATATGGACAATAGTCATTTATCCACTTGATTTGACTTTCACTTGATGAGATAACTAGAAAATGCTTGAGAGTAAAAAATAAAATAGATAAATATAAAAAAAAACTGTGCTTCCTTATTATCTTTTTAAAGTACAAAAAATAACGACAGGTGTTTGATTACTTAATAAACTGTGGGTATTGACCATAAAAACATAAATTCTTTTAAATGGCTTTTATAGTTCTACTAAAATCTAAATCTCGCTGAAAGATCTTTACGATGCGTCCCATTGTTCCGGTTGTAAAACAAAACCGCACATAAAAGAAGTAACCCGCTTTTAACTTAAAGTTTATAACGATACAAAAAAATTGGCTAAGTGCGAGTTGGACCGAGTCCCGTGGCCTAAATTTAAAACTTATCGCAATCCCTTTCAAAGGTTCGCGATAGAGGTTTATTGAATTATTTTGGAACGAATGACGATTTGAATGATACAGACACATAATAAAAACTTAGTAACTTAAACAGAAAAGTTATATTTGCTTCTAACGTTTGCCTTAATTCCAGATAATGTGACATTAACGATATCGTTCATTCAATATCTTTCAAAAACCTCGCGATCGCATGTCAAATTATTTTAGCGTGAAATTCGTAACTTTGAAAATCAAAATTGAACGAGATAGCAATAGATTTTAAAATTGGAAATATAAAATTGGACAATTATCCGGTTTTTCAATGTACTGCGATCCGGTCCCAAAAGTATGTACAACTTGTTCTCCCAATCTCAATACGTCGACAAAGATATGGAAGGAATACCTTTGTCGACGTATTTGAAGAAAAAAGTTTAAAGAAAAAATATGGAAGGAAGGAAAGGAATTAAAGTACTTCCAGATATTTCTATACTAGTGCATTATTTTTTTTCAAATTTTATGATTCTCTGAACAAGTAACACTATTATTATAATACGCAGCACAAACTGTCCTATAATTGGGTTAGAAATGTCATAATTTCCGCAGCTTCATAAAATTGCAAACATTAGTTTTTGATATTAATTTCAACTTCATATCTATTTGGATGCCTGGAGAATACAGACAGATTTATGAACAACAAAGTAATTCTATAAGGACCGCTTTTCTTATTAGATACGGAACCCTAATAATTATAAAAATGACACGTGCTCTTTAAAAAGTTTCAAGAAATAAAATGTCGACGTATCTCCTACCCTTAATTTAATAGGAAATTTTAAAATGCATTTGAAATATGCAATCAAATCTAAAAGGCAACGGAGTAGGATTCCTGAATTGGTAAGAGGCGTGCCATCAAGTTTGGTCGGTTAAACCCATTTCAGAGGCGAATCACGTACGTATTTACAAAGAGCACATCATATGAATATAAGATTGCTTGCTAGTATATTTCTAATACATACCTATATGATAAAATTAAACGTTACATCTATTGAATAAATGTTATGACATTTTATTTTAAATATTTGCTTTTTGCTTCAGTTCTTTTTGGTGTATAGGAAATATTTCATATATTTTTTTATTATTATATCAAAATATACATGTTAGATAGGTTTTGTAAACAAAAACACTTGTTTTGTATAGTAAGTTAAATTATTCTCGGCAATTTTTTATGCCGGTATTCTTATTTTCATTTTTGTAATAGTTTAATGGTCAAAGAAATCATCTTTTAATATTATTTTTATGTATGAAATAAAACAGGCAGATAAAAAATATGAATAACGACCATTGTTCTTTTAAAGATATTAGATTCTAGACAAAATAAAAATTGTGAAGTTAAAAACATAATCAAAACAGATTTGAAATAACTTTGACAGCTTTATACAATATGAGGAGTTGTTTATAATAGATATTTACTGAATCATCCAAAGAATGATGAAAAGAACGAAAACTGCAATTTTTAAGATTTTTATTTCACAATTGTATATTAATATATTAATTATTAATATATTAATATACAATTGTGAATATAAAATTAATCAAACATAATTATACTTCATTATGTTAACGCAAAAAGAAATACCGATTCTTAATACAAATGCGTCGCAACCGCAATATTCTGTAATAATTTGTGCCAAGATTTTTTTTTAAGGGCAATGTTATTGTTACTTATAGTATTGTGTCTGAAAAATTGATCAAATTTACATTTTGTTTTTATATTCCAACGTATAATTTAATTGAAACATCTCAATTACGCAATTTAAAAACAACAAGCAAAGATAAACACCCTCGTAGACGCAGACTCGTCAATTCGAAATGAAAGCCCAGTAATGCGATACAATAAGATAAGTCGGAGACAGAGACGCTTTCAGTCATTCAATATAAATATTCGATTTCTTTCATAAATTGAATTTCAAGCTTGTTTTTGTATAGGAACTCCGTAGTTGAATGGGTTACATGTCATGTTCGACTTGCTATTCTACATTCGTATGGTTCTTTTGCTGGATAATCTAGACAGATATTATTATGTTCAGTTTTCATGTTAGTGTATAGATATCTGTTTTAGTTTTCTAATGTGCCTCTGTTTTAAATGATAAGATAAGAACTTTTACGAGGAATAGCAAGAATATTTAAATATAATAAAACACCAAATAAACCAAGTCGTTCTCGGGCGAGGATAATGCTGTACGCAGCAACGAAATAATTATCGAGAATAAGGGTGCAAATTATTACCTTTCTGTTTACTTAATCCGACTCTGTGTCAGCCCTTTCCATTAAAACGATGGGTTATCAAAGCGACTGCCGTAGGCGCACGGCTGTGCGCTGAAGGAAATTTTATTAGATCTATGAATTTCCTTTGAAATTGAGACTTCCTTTACTATGAAGGTTTTTATAGACTTTAGAAAGGAGATTGCAAACTTTAAAAAAGAGAAAAGGCAGTTTAACGGCTATGGGAAGTTTTTTATATTCGCAATGATTTTCTATCTGATAATGCAGTGACTATTTTTACTAAGACACAATATAATACTATAACCTCAGCATCACATGATGTTATTAGGATGCGTCTCCATTTCACATAATTTTCAAAATGACATAGAGAACATGCAAAAGTTAATAATATAAATTGCTGTTGTAATATTGAATAAAAGAAATGAAATGAAATTCATTTTAATATGAATGACGTTACTTGACAAGATGGCCAAGCAGCTACAAATGATTTTTTACTTATATAATATAGAAGTAAAAAAAAAGCTAATTACACAAACCCTACGCGCCCTTTGTAAC